TGATGGGAAAACTTTCATGGAAACACAATATAATAGTATCATTCGGGTAACCATCATATATTATAATTATCACCCAACAAATTTATGCTTATAACGATTTCAGTAACAGAAGCCAGAGCGAGAAAGATTCTATGATACGTACAAATTTACCTTAATTCAATACAATATTTTAATTTTATAAAAAAGTATTATTTATTTCTAGCAAAAAAAAAGTATTATTTAATTTTTTATTTTATCATTCATTTGTTATATTAATTAATATCTCATTAATTTATTATCTTGTACAAAATACACATTAATTATTAAAAATAAATTTATAAAAAATATTTATTTATTAATTTTATAAAATGACGATAGAAATAAATAAAATAAAATTGTTAAAATAAAAAAATACAGAAAAATGTAACTTGAGAAACAAATATGATATTCGAAGATTACGTGTGAGTTTTAAATTAAGCAGTTACTAGTGAGATCCATGTATGATTCTTCAATCATCAAAGACGAATATGGTCTCGTTATATTATAGTTTAATAATAGAATAATTTAAATGTTAAATTTTTTAAGTATTAATATTTTATTAAAAATAAATTGATAAAGTTTATATTTTATAAAAAATTATTAAGTATAATAATAAAAATTTAATATACAGCAGTCTTTCACTTTCTGAGTGGGCAACCGTAGTTCCTGCAAGGCGGGGAAGGAATCCACCAAATTTATAAATTATGTTGGAGATGAGCATCCAAGAATTATCCCAAAAACAACTGTAGGAATAGGTATAATCAATAAAAAAAATACATAATTTTAAAATACCCTTTTGATTTAATATAAGGATATCCATATCTTTTGACCTAACCTAAAGATAAATATTCCTTCAAATATATTAAAATAAATCAATTAATTAATTAATAATTAATAATAAAAAGATTAACTATCTAAGTAATTAAAAATAAAAAATAAATCAATTAATAATTAATAATAAAAGAATTAATTATCTAAGTAATTAAAAGATTAAAATAGAATTAAAATATAAAATATAAATAAGAAGATTTGACTTTGGAATATCAAATACTCTTTTTACTCTTTTTTATAAGAATAGAAGACTAAATTATAAGAATCAAGGAAAGTAATTAAATATATTATATTTTTTATAAATATAAATTTTATTTTAAAAATATTCATGATTTCAATTAATATAATTAATAATTTATATATTTGATGATACTAATAAAAAAAATAAAATTAATAATTAATGTATTTTAAATTTATTATTTATTTTTATAATAAAAATAAAAAAAATATTTTATTTTATTTTTTATAAAAAAATTAGAAAAAATAATATTTATTATTTTATACCAAAAGCTGATTTTATCTTACATATACTCTATTCTTACGTCACTGGAGAGAAAAATCTTAAATATTGTATCAGGGAACCAGAAGGGTGAGTATAGAAGATTCTGCATACACTGGAGGGTAGTCAAATCAGTGCCCTCTCCACCACAATAGTTAGTGCTTTGATAGTTGCCTCTCATACACTTTAATTAAGATGATTGAAAACATGGAAACCATAGATGGAGGAGTGGTGTCACATTCATTAAAACTTAACGTCAAAAGCAAATTCCCTTTTAATTTATTTCAATAATAATAGTCACCACTCACTAATACTAAACTCTATTAGCTTTAAATTACTTTGTTAGTGGTGGACAGTGTCAGACAAGTTTCATCTCCTTTCAAATGCGCATCTGGCCCCTCCAATTTACTACATCAACGTTATATATTTCTTTAGATAATTTTTTTTAATTTTCTTTCAAAATATTTATTTTCTCAAATTAACCTAAATTAGATACACGTTAACAACATAAATATAATTCATTAAATAAAAAATGATTAAATCAAATAATTTGTTATCTGTGCTAAAAAAATTATCTACAATTTAATACAAACTATGCTGCCAACACTAATATTTATTCTAACCCCTATCCGACAAAGCAAAAGCTAATGTCATCATAGACTGTATATTGTGTGACATAATTTTATGTTGTATCAAAAGTTGTGACTTGTAAATATAAAATTATAATCACACTAACAATAGCCCCTGTTAGAGATACCAGTTCTGTTGTGTTTCTATAGACACATAATATACAATATTAACAACTATTAACATCAGTGACTTCAGCGATAGGGTTTTATTTTTAAAAAAAATTAATAAAACATCTTATCTAATTTTTAATATTTTTTATACATAAATAGGAAAAAAAACGTTTTATTTAAAAAATAATAATTTTAATATAAATGAGAATATTAATTGTGTTTATTATCCGTGTATTATCCTTCTAAATATACAGATAAACAAAACAACGAGAGTAAATTAGGAATACATTATCTAAATTCTTAAGGCACGACAAATTATTAAACTGAAAAATAATTTATAATGCAATGATATTGTCATAGGATTCTAATCCGACGAGGTGAGGCATTTAGGATTGAAGAAGCCAAGAGATAATGTCAATAGCTATATATATATATATATATATATATATGAAAAAAAGATCTTTTACTTTGATTAAATCTAAAAGTTTTTAGACTTATATATCTGTAAAAAAGAATTTGTCTCATATATTTGGTTAAAGGAATTTATGCTTCTTAAAATTGTTATTTATTTTGGGCTTTAAGCCTCTTTTAATTATTAAAAAAAAGAAAAAGTTATTAATTTTTTTACCTAATCAAATTTATAATTACTAACATTAAACTTGACCGACTAAATATTTAATTGATTAAACAATTGACAGAAAATCAGTTAGATCACTCATTCAACAACTTGAAATATTAGTTAAAATCTGATTAAATTAATCCAGAATCACTTAAAATCAAGTAAGATTTGTGTTAAAAAAATGTTTTGAAACAATTTTCTTTTAAAAGATGATGTTTTAATATTTTATTTTTAATAAACAACGACTCATATACATAAGTTGTTATTAGATAATTTTTTATTTCAATGATTGGTTTAGTTTTAAAATATTGATTAAAAGCATCATAGAATTTTTTAAAATTTTAGTCAATAAACCTGAAAACACCTTTCAGATAACATGTAGGAAGAATTCTTTTAAATTAATTTTAGGAGATAAAATAAGCTCTAAAATTAATCTTTATCTTGACAAAACAAAAGTATGATACAAGAATATTCAACTCCGTTGACAGTTTGACTATAAATATTAAAGATAAAAAAGATTCCAATATCCTTTTGGCTAAACCTTTCTCTACATTAAGAACTTTTGCATAGATTTTTATCCCTCTAATAGAATGCTTTCATTTCTTCTTTTAGCTGATGGATTGTGCTTTCCATTTCTTCACTTCCCTTTGGATTTAGATTGCGATATGTATGTTGCTGACATGAATCACAACTTCACTTCAAAAACATCTGGAAACAAGAACCACACTCATTTAAAAAAGAATCAATAAATAAATAATATAATAAATAAATATAATATAATATATATTGAGTTAGAGAGTATTTGAGTAGAGAACTTTATAATGAGTAAAATAACATAATACAATTCTAAAACTTTAAAACAATAGATATATGAATTTATCTCTTTATAAACTCCTAAATTACTTATGTAAGACTTCATTCACACTTAATATCAACAATATTATATATATATATATATATATATATATATATATATAAGAATTGAATTTTATATATAAAATAAATAAAAAACAGTTCTTTCTTAAATATTTTTTAATTTTATATTTATGAACACGTGTACCCACACACATTCACAAACACAGAAGCTATATACATCACTTGCATCCGATTCATCTTAAATGGGTGAGATATGTGAATTCTTTGAATCTCAAAGATAAAATAAGATAGCATAAAAGAAAGTGTGTGAGATATAGAAGGGAGATAACCATGAAAATATATATATATAAATAAATAAAAAGTGAGGATATAGTTGAAAAAAAAGAGTAGTATTTGGAGCTCCCTTCACTCCAATTCAAAAAGATCAAGATAACCCTGTCTCCAAATTCATGCAAACCCTTGATTTTCGCATGCTTCTCAAGAATAATTTCTGCGAAGTCATAGGTGTTCATGAATTAGCAGGTAGGGTCTTCCATCACCTCCTTTCATAATTGGAGTGCTGAGAGCCTCAACTTTGACTTAGGAATTGTGATGCTATTGGAAACCTCAAACTGGGGTTTATATAGGCCAATACCTTAGCTTAATGTGTAATCTCAGCCATTAAATTTGAGGATCGAATATATCTATTGGAAGATCTCAAAACAGGATCTTGATGATTAAGGATTGGTGATTGTATTAATTTAACTTCAAATTATTCCTGTTAGTTGAGTTCCTTTTAATTGTCTGATTAGGATCTACAATTAACAGGGTATAAATATATTATGCATAACTTTAATAACGCTAGCTTGTGTGGGCATATTATCTTATGACTGGCAGATTTTTATTGACTAATTTTTACATATTTAAAAAATTCTACTATTTATATAGACATATTCATCGAGTCAGGTAAGATTAAGTATTTATCATGTAGATTCAAATTCAAGACCACAAGTTAAATTGAAATAACTTGTACCATTTGATTTTTGCGCTGTATGGTTTTTAAGTGAGAATTGATATAATATATTCAATACTTTTATTAAATTTTCAAACTAATTATTTTCTCCTTATAGAATCTATTGTTTTCGATACTTGCACAATTGTTACACGATACTTACACAATTAGTGCACATTTAGATGGACATCGAAAGCTCCAAAACTTCAATTTAAAAATATAAATATAGTTTAAAATTTGTGTTAACATGTTTAATAATTATTTGACATAATTAATGTTATCCTTAAACTTATGTTTGAATTAACATGATAGATTATATCATTTATGTTGAATTATTAAAATTATACTGATTTGTATTGGAAACTTGCATTTAAGAGAAAAAATTTCAAGCATAAATCATATCACTTTAAAGTAAAAGCTATTATCCATAATTAACTTCGTTCATACTCAAATTTATAAATATTCATCCAAATATACACTTAGTTTGTCATATTGTAATTAGTTAGTCAGCATGCAATGTAGACAGTTAACAAAATAATAAACAGAAATTATGATATCTAATTTTCTACCCCTGGGATTATGATTCAATGTCATTATTCTGGGCTATATCTAGAGGAATTTTGGAAAATAAAGTCAATTCTACACATCCCAAATCACTATCACCACTGATCGCTTGGTAGGCACGGTGACACTCAGATCAAACATCTTCTACAGATAATGGATACAACTCTGATTTTCATCCATCTAACCATGTACATAGCTAAAAGATTCATGTGAGAATTTGATGAAAGATCCTAGTGTAATACCTATTACCCATTGCAACTATTTAACATTCTATTAATCCATTAGAAACTTCTCTAGTTGATCAAGAAGTGTTTTTGCTAGCTCTGGAGCGAGATTTCTGTCCCTCTAATCTTGCTTCAAGTAGTTTTGCCATCAATGTGTTTTCCTTTACACCCTTAGGCAATTTGGTAGAAGACTCAGACTTGTCAAAATCTGAAACACTCAACTTTGATTTCCACAGTATTGCAGGGCTATTAGCATTGGCAGTAACTACAGATTGAACAAAAGAATCTTCCTTGCAAATACTTTCAGGATAAACTTTATCACCTTCTGATGACAAGGAACTGTTTCCAATCAGGTTATCAGGCCTGTGACTTGAGTTCATTCTCAGGATCCAAGGTCCATCACTTTCTTGTGGATTTTGTTTGGCCTCTTCATTTAATAGAGAATTGATGTCTTCTATTTCACTTGGTTTCCTCTTCACAAAGCAACTCTCATCATCATCACACAACATGTGTTTCGAGTTGGGTTTGTCGAGTCCATTGCCAGCAACCCTTTGTGGTTCAAAAAAGTGGGTGTCAATGGAATCTTCCTGAGTCATATTCTGAGGTGCACTTCCAGAGTCTTTTAGTGGAAAGGAATCCAATGAATGACAAGGGTGGATTTCCTTGAGCTCCTTCGGGGAAGAGTAACCGTATTTTTTCAAATCAACTGATCGTTTTGCATGCAGAAATGTTTCAATATCAAAACCTAGCTTGTCAACGATTGAATTTCTCTCTATTAAATCGCTGCCAGATTGAGCTAGCTTCATCTGCATGCGCTCGTCAAGCCAAGCTTCTGAAATATGAAGTATTAGCCTGTCAAGGTTATTCCCTTTAACCTGACACTTATCAGAATTCCGCCTAAGAGAATGTACCTCTTGTTCATAATCTCTTATCCCCTTGGCAAACTCATCGCACAAGTTCTCCAAAAGGATTCGTGCTTTTCTCTCTCTTTCAAGATTTCTTAAACAGCCAGTGAATGAAGACTTTACTTCCGAAAGCTCCCTGGCCAGCTTTCGATGCAAGTTTTCTGAATGCTTCCGTAACCTCCTCTCATTTTCTAGCTCTTCCTTGATTGATTCAATGGCAGCTTTAATTCTGTCATGTTCTTTGTTCTTCCTAACAAGTTTGTCCACTGTCATTTCTTTTATAAAGTTCTCCATTTCCTGCTTATTCATTTGCTTCTCTAGTAGTAATTCCTTTATTCGCGCTTGAGAGTGATCTAGTTCCATTTTTAAGGCTTTTACTACTGATATATTTGATGCATGCTGTTCTTCAAGACTCCAGATACGATTGAGAACCTTAAGCAATTCCGTGGATGTTTTGAGGTTGCCATTTGACTCTCCAATCATACCTTTGAAGTCTATGGAGCTTGTGGGAGTTACTGCACATTTATATGGTGCAACCTGTTTTAAACAAATGGCATATGCATCATGTTTTATACCATTTTCAAAGGATGAAAAACATTTTAAAAATTCTCAGATATAGAGAATGTTTCTAAGAGACATATATTTATACACATCATGACTTATAAATTAGGGTATGGGGTTCAGGCTAATCAACTTGGCCTCAAATAAAAAACTATGACATCATCAACTAACTGATTCATCTGTGTCTCTTTTAGAACTAAAAAGAGATTGTTGTTGAAGATTATCTCGGTAGAAGTCCATCACTTAAACCCATAACATTTTAAGTTAAACAAATGCAGGAAGAATGCTCAAACATCAAGACAGAAAATTTGAGTAATACATGTTCAACTGCATAATGACCTAAAGAGCTAAAACATTCAGCAGAAAATATTTATAACTGACTGCTCTAATAATTCAATTTTTAATTTAATTATGGACTACGAGAAGCATTTAAGTCATGCAGAATTTCCCTCAATTAGTCCACAATACAGTTATGACATATAACTACAGCCAGAATATGCTTCCCGTTATGTGGAGTATCAATTTTCTGTATATTGCTTCAAACCCACTAGATTTTACGATATTTAATCCAAGGCATAATGCGTCACATGATAATAATCACAAGAAATAATGTTCCTACAATTGAGCTAACACACTAAGAATTAAGAAATAATGTTCCCTACAAAAGAAAGCCAATGACAAGCACAGATAAAAAGCAAAAATGAAGAACCCAAAAGGGTAAAGGCAGTATCGTCATCATTTAAAAAATAGTATTTAAAGTAATATGTTTAAAGCTAAAAAACTGCCAAACTCATAATCACACCTTGCCAAGTAATCAAATGTTTGTTTGAACAATGAAAATTAGACACACAATCACTAGATATTCAAATGGATAAAAATCTACTTACTTCTGCTGAGCTACTGTAACAAGGAGATACCGGCTGTAGAGCACAAACATTTCTTTCAACTGATCTACGAGCGACTTGCCTTTTCAAGCTACTAGCAGATGTTGGCTGCAATAAGGCATAGGATACTAAAATATCATGAAAAAGAAAAGACACACTATACAGATACTTCTACATTCACCAAATTTTAACTTGAGGAATTGAATATTTATCAATCTCTATTTTCTCATTAATTCAGCTTCATGATGCTAGCCATCCTAGCAATGACATTAATGTAAGAATTCCTTACTCTGCAACTAAAAGCAATTTAAAATATTTCTTAAACTAATTGCAATATATGTAGAGTTATATTAACAACCATTGGGAACAATGTTAACTATAGGTGTGTAAGGGATCTGGGAAAAGAAATTCAATAGATCATATTCTAGCCAAATGGAAGCAATCGAATGCATTTATACCCCTCTGCAAATGCAGCTCCTAGCTAGTTTGTAATCTATCCCAGCTTCACTTAGAAATTGCACATATAGGGCAAGAAGAAGTGTTATCAACACACTCTTTCAAACATATTCTTAATTATTACCTGCTATTTATTGAAAAATGCAATTATGAGTGACTCATTAACTGGTTAGTGGGACCCACATCATTTTGTAAATCCCACTAATTTTTCACCAATGTTTGATCGTATATCCAAAATAGTGTATGGTTAGAATTTCTCAAAAGACAATGTGAGTTTATGATTTATGGACAAAGATTTAGAAAAAGAATGGCTGCAGGAAAAAGATGCGCTTGGATGGCCCAAAATAGATAATGAAGCTGTTAAAGAATGTGGGAGTATACAGAATCAATCATAAATGAAAAAATATATAGAACACATCTAAGCAACAATACATTTACAATGGTTTTAGACAATAACTGTAAAGTGAAGAAACCAATCAACATGGATGAAAATTGAAAACCAGCTAAGGAAAAAAATGAAGCAGACTTTCAGCAAGTAAAGCAATGTTAAAAAGATGAGAGTAAAAATCCTCTAAACAAGGAAGAAAGGGAAGGTCAACTGCATAATACTAAAACAAGACAAGTCAAAATGTAATTTTTTTTACACATCTAAACCACTTGCTTAACATACACAAAGTCACAAACCGACTCATTGCCAACTTTTAACTGAAATTTCCATTTGAGGCATAATAAGGGAATGTAACAAAATAATGGATAAAATTTAGCATACTAATAATTTAAAGAAAAAGTTTAAAGGCATGTATAAGCGTGTGATGGAACTTAAAGAGTGTGTTTGAAAATCCTTCATAATCATGTTGGAATGGGATCCACAGTTTGAGTGAAATTAACACCAATCCAAACACGCCATAGCTAAGTGGAACAGATGGGACACCCTACCCACCAAATCAAATCCTAAGGGAGCAGAGTTCCACAACAAGAATTGGTGAAGGGCTTAAGGCAACCAACAAGAAAGAAGACAAGGATAGAAATTAACACACACACACACCTGAATTAGCACAGAGGAAGCAAATCATACGTGGTAAAGTAAATAAAGTTTTTTGAAAAAAAAAATTGCAATGTAAAAATGAACAAAAAAACAGCAAAGAAAGTAAATTGTGATAAAACCTGATCAGAATCAGAAGGGGTGTCCGGGGGCTGAGCCACTTGGTTGTTCACTTCAGAAGCTGTGTCCTTAGGATGGAGGCGGTGACGGCGGCGGCGACGGCGGCGGAGGGTGGTTCCAGGCTTGTTGTTCATTTTGGGAAGTGGGGGGTGTTGGTGGGGCAGAAGTTCCCAGAGATTGGCACAGAGCTTTCTAGCCGAAACAGTTGAAGTGTGAAAGGTGAGGAATTCTTCAACCTTGTGATTAGCAAGACTATTATGCTGAGATGGAAGTTCAAGTCTCCATGTGGGTGGTGGAGTACAAGGGCCACCCTTTTTCCCCACCAAAACCACTCTTTGCTTCAACTTTTCCACCATTAATCCACCCCTTTTGTCCTCTCTCTCTTCACCTTTTTCTCTTCCTTCCATCACACTCTTATGTTACAACTCAATCTTCAAAATTCAAAGTTCATTTTTTTAATCTTTCTCTCTCCCCTTACTCTTTTAACAGTTTGATGGAAGTGATTCTCTTTTCTTTTGGCCTTCAGATTTGACAATGCTTCTGTGTCTTCTCTGCAGGTTTTCTGAACAAGTTACCTCTCAGTGAAGTGTTCACAAAATTTTAGCCACCTCAGCAGTTCATTCATAGTTGGGTCCACTGTTGTTGAGTTCTTATCCCCAACATCCTTGCTTTGGCTACCTTTGTCCCTTCTTTGAAATTGTTTGTGTTATTATGTCTTTGTTTTGCTTCCTTTATTTTTATTTCATTTAAATTTTGATTTTTATATGTATTTATTTAGTGTTTTTATTAAAAAAATTTAAAATCCAAGTGGTTATTGTTTCAAGGTTCACTAATTTTACTGTGATTAAGCCGGAAGCAAATAAGTAATAATAAAATATGTTTGAAATATTATACAGTATATTAAGTAATAAAATATAAATTATAAAAAGTAAATTATTTTAAATTAATATAAAACAATCATATCACATAATTTATAAGATAAAAGTATAACAATTAGTTAAATAATAATAAATTTATATATAAATATCATGTATAAGTTTTTATTTATTTTTAAAAAAATAAAATAATTTTTTTTTAAAAAAAGTATATGCACTAATCGGTTCAAACAAATTTCTGCACTGATTCTTGACCAATTTTCCTTTGAATTAGAACCAGTTACTAAGTGATTTTTGGTTCAACTAGTTGGACAATTTGTTTCAATCTTAGTAACTATGTTTTTCTTTTATTATTATATCACATTACTTATTATATTTTTACTTGTCTCTTTTATTTTTATCAAGAAGAAGAGAGACATTTTTAACTGGAAGTTGTTAACTAATAATATTCTAAAAGATATTGGTCAAGTAATCAATAAATAATAAACTTTTATTAAAAATAATATTAGAATGTATTAAAATATATGGGATGAGTGTATTTTTTTTTCCATTTTTAACAAAATAAAACCATTTTTATTCCTTAATCAATGCTTTAAGTATTTCTTTTTCAAATTCCCTACGTCCTTGAGCTCTTTTATTAACTCATTTTAATGAATTTTTTAAAACAAATAAAAATTAGATATTTTAAAAAACAATTAGGAAGAAGTAAAAATATCATTTTACAAATTATATATTATGAATGTTTTTTTTATGCTTTAATCTCTTTTTATTAATTTATATAGGCTGGCTTAAATAAGATTTTAGAATTTAAGAAAAAAAATATTTTTTTATTTAGTCTATTTTTTAATATGTTCAAATAAAGTTTTTAAAATTATTCTTAGTTTTTACATAGTCTCTTTATTTATGTATGATTTTTTATTTTTTATTTTTTTTTATTAACATATGTATCATTCCACTTAATGCATATAATATGACATGAAATTAATGTAGATGATGACACAATATATTAATTTCTTTTATATTTTTTAATTTTAATTTTATAAAATCTACCCTCATTCTAGGATTTTATTTGACAATGAGAAAATAATAATGTTACAATGATATATCATATTTCAGTTTAATTATATAATCTAACTTAATTGTCGTGTAAATAAATAATGAAATAAGTTAATTGATTAATAACAAAGAGACTAGACCGGATAAAAATATTTTTAAAGCATTAAAATCTTATTTAAACTTGTATAATATTTTTATAAAATGTAACATTAATAAGCAAATTAGTAAATGTTTAAGTTTGTAATTAGTTTGAAAAAATATATATCTCATAGGATACTTGGATAAAACTGAAGTAGATTCACATTTCAGTCAAGTTTAATGATGGACAAACTCCTCCTTTATATGTGATTTTATATCAATAAGAACTTTTCTTTTTGAAGTGTTTGTTCTTCCTAACTTCTAACAGGTACAAGGACCAGCTCATGAGGCCAAACTAGGAGTGAAAGAGAAAGAGAGGAAAAAAAGCCAAAAGTTACGACACCCAATTTTGAATTTGTCATTTTGCTTTCTTTCATGCTAAGCTAACCTAAGATACACTAAGGAATCTATAAGATCATAGGGGTCTTGAAATTGCTCAAGACTATGTTCATGCATGCAATTATGACTAAAATGTCTGACTTAGGGAAGATTGAAACTTTTTAGCATGCGGCTTCTGGACTTATGGGTTGGTGTAGGTCTTTGGATTCATGTTGTGCTGTCTTGGTCAGTGCACCAATTTCGGGTTCAAGCTAGGCACTCATGGTCCACAATTTGGGTCCACAACTTTGTAGATGGTCCATATGATCCTCATGATCATGAAGATATGAACCAAAGGGAACTTGTGGTCCACATTCCCTGTAATTTATTCCCTTGAAAATTCTTCATCTTCTGAAATTATTATTTTGATCATAAAAAGCCCATGCACGAGAGTCCTATTCATAGATGGGTTTTGTGCCCTTGTGGGTAGACCTTGTACAAACTTACCCTCTTTTCTGTCTTCCAATCAACATCAATGGTAATGGAGTTAAAATATTTTCACAACTTATAATAATAAGTTTCTTTCTATCTCTCTTTATCTTATCACTTATCTTATTATTATTATTATTATTTTCTTCTTTTCTCATCTAAACTAAGCTGTAAATACAATTTTATAACTTTGTTGTACTATTATCTGTTCTCATGGCAATGCATGCTTACCATGAAAGTTGGTTAATTCAACAGCATCATTGCCACCAAACCTGTGCTCAGGGTATCTACTTGGCTAATTGCATTTATTAGGAACTCCCAACCTGTTGCTCCCAAGTTAATTTCATTAGAGGACCACAAGTATCATTATTGAGCCTCTTTTCTAGTAGTATCTTTTCCCTTCTTGAATTGATTGTGGTCCAAAACCTTGCTCTTAACTGACATTAACAACATGCCTTTTTATATATCCAACACAGGTAATGTTGTGTAGTGGTGTAATACCTTTACCATTTTCCATATCCTGCAACTTCCCCCTTCCACCAGACTGTGTCAAACTTTATGAGGAAGCCACGAACACATTATCATAATGTCACTTTGTATTTTTTTCTTCTTTCTTTTAACAATGGGAGTATTTTATTAGAACGAAAGTACCACATCTGTACCAATAAAACAGAATGAAAAGTACCACACATTAACTGATAAATAATAGCAAAAACCAAATTAACTTGAACGAGCAAATGTCACAGGTAAAATTCCAAGAGGATATAGCATAGTCTGTATGGTGATCATGGTAGATTATTTTGTTGAATTGTGACTAAAGATATAAATAAGTTTAACTATTCAAGTTTAAGTTTTTTAATAAATAATAAAAAAACTCAAGCTTAATTTTATGCTCCTTCATATAATTCGGTCAGCTTGAGTTTTATATATACTATAAATTATTTAATTAATAAACTTAAAAACGCTTCAAGAACATATTTGATAAATAAAATAAATAATTAAGTTACAAATGAGTTAAAAAAAATCAAACTCGTCTTTTGTATTTTCTTAAGTTGATGTTTTAAATTTGATATGTTTTTTTTACCCACTAAACTTGAACTTCAAATATTTTATTTAATTCTTCATGTTTATACTCTAATTACGACATTTGCATTTTACGCATCTTCATATAAATTATGGATGCATTGGATCGTTTAAAGCATATAAAAAATAAGGTGAAAGGTAAAACATTTAAAATAAATACCTGTTCTAAGGGTTGATTTTGAAATTTTAAATAATTATGGTTCAATTTGGATAAACTACTGAAGAAGTCTAAGAAAAAAATTAATATAAAAAATAAATAAAACTTTTTATATTTTATATTTTTTTAACTACTCTCTTTTTCAACTTTTCTAAAATTTGAAGAGATAAATTGTTTTTAGCATAAAAAAAATTATTCATCTTTTATACTGATTTCATTTTTATTTTTTTTAGAAATTTATCCACAAAACTGTATCTTTCCTGCACATTTTAACCAAGATGATTGATAAGTTAGTGTGTAATTACACAGCTAAAAGCAGTTGTCGTCATTTTAAGATGGGCCAATAATCTCTTCCAATGCTACTTTTTAGAAATAAATGGCTGCGGTAAAACAACGTCAAACTCTCCGAACACAATGTGGTGCTTCCACTATTCTTTGTGCAATGGCTAAATGCATTTGCATATATTTGACACTATGAATAATGGAATGAATATCAAGCTTGAACGGCAGCTGAAATACATAACGAAAGTTTGAAGATTCTCATGCGTAGCAATTCAATATCTTGATCATTATTTTTTGGACTTCATTAAATATCTCAACCTACATTCTCAAATAATAAACTTTTATTAAAAATATTTATTACATTGTAGATATAAAAGTGTAATAAATAGTTGTTATTTTACCTCAAGTTAACATTTTTCTTATTTTTCTCCTTTTTTTATCTCCCCTTGTCACCCTTTAAACCAATGGCTTTATCTTCCTGGCTGATATACTCCAGGAGGAAGAACAAGCCTTCCAAAAATATCTTCAAGAGATAAAAGGAAGGGAAATGTTACACAGATAAACTTTATTCAAATTTATATATTTGAGAGAGAAAGATTGAGACAGCATGGTGATGAAAGCCTGGAACATCACTCATGCCAAGAAGACACTGATGAATCTCCCCATAGGACCCTGGTACTTCTCGGTATGGATGACATCATTGCACCATGGAACAACTCAACATGTCAAACAAATTGACGTTCACACAGAAATTTTACATTACAAATGTAAATAAACCTCATGCTCCTTGAGGATATATCCTTCACTTTGCACTCTGTAAGATGCTGATTTGCAATATCAAATAATCATTTAGTCAAATGTTCTTCCATAAATTGAGATTGAAAAATATCAAATGCTTTTAACCTTCAGGGCCGTTTAATTTTTCCAAATTTCCTTCTCCGGAATGCTTTCACTTCATTTTTCGAATCACCGGGAGAAGATAGATTCCTAGAGTGAGTGGATGAACCATGAGCAAATTCAAGGAGAATAGTATATTTTATTACTGCACCATTATCAGTACAATACCTTATTCAGTGACAAACAACTTTCAAACCTGTTCATAGCACATTATTCTCATAATCTCTTTCAAGTGTTCATTTCAACTTACAGCACCAAATATAAGAACATCTGTCCAGTCACAATGAGACATAGCTAACTCAGTTTTCTCCACAAGCATGACCAACGGTGTTTCCTGCAATGTATTTTGAAATCTCAACTTTCAAAATTTCTCATTTTATTCAAACA